TGGGGAACTTGGCGGAGATGGCATGGTGAGCCGCCTTGTCCTTGATGACCAGTCCCTTGTCACCCTCCATACCCTTCAGTACGGAAGGCTCCTCAACGGACCAAGTGCCAACGTATGCCCATTCCTCGTCATCGGCCTTGACGTCCTTCTTCGCGTGTGAGGGGTTCCATCGGGACTCCCAGTCGTCGGTGAACTGCTCGAGGAAAGGTGCCTTGAGTTTTGTGGGCTATACGAATGTTAGAGAGAGCCTCGGCTAGGTGTATGATTCAGAGACATACAGTAAAGGTCGGCTTCGCGACCGTGGTCGAGGAAGAAGACGCTGACTCGGAAGAGCTGGCGTCGTCTGCGCGCACAACGGCGGCAGCGAGCGCAACGGTGGCGCCAATTGCAAAACGCATTGTGCTTGCCTTAGTTGAGGGTTGAAGTGGAGGAGAAGAGTTCACGGATTCAACGTTGGGGCAAGGTGGCAGTTAAATGCCCAGTACACAGAAAGGCCACCTTAGTGAAATGTGGCAGGAAGCGGGCCCTTGGAGCTCCCCACTAGCGCGGCGACCCATGCACGGTTATGCTCCAGGGTTATGGATGCTTCTCGAATTACTTTCACGCCAGCTGGCCAGATCTGATACACTTTCACTTAAGAGTTCATTGCATGCAATTACTATCAAGTGGTTAGGAAGTCCTAGTAATCCAAGGTCCTTCCCAGGTGCTCGCTCACGATAGCTCTTGCCAGGATTCTGTGTCCGCGGCGCTAGTGCAGACCTCGGGAAGAACAAACGTTTTCTCCACACGTCAACCCCGAATCCAAAGGTCCCAAGATAAGGAACACAGTTCAGGCTGCTTTTCGAATCTCAAGGAGATACTTCAAAGAGGCCACGTTGTGCACAACAAACTCGCATCGATCACGCTCATGCGCTGTACGACCAACACAACACACTGCATCACCCAGTACTGTCATCAATGGTTGAACGTATGTGGTATCGATTGTAGGTGAGCTATATCCATAGTCACACCAATGCATGCAGCCAACGGCGCTTCAGTGTAGGTATTCCCAAAACTCCGCCGCCTAGCCAGGTCGTAAGATGTGGTCTGCGTATGTATGCTACCTGTTCCCAAGTCCATCCCGCAAGTAGTACAAAGCCGCGAACGCCATACGCTAAAGTCAAAGTTCTAATTACTCCATGCCGCATTCCATATGACATGGCCTATGTCGCGTGCAGTATTTACGGTGTCAACAACTCTGCCGATGAGAGTGGGTGGTAAAGGCTCTTCTTCGTCGCCTTCAAATGGCATGAACATGCCGGATGGTGTTCTTCGTAGTGCGCCGCTTTCCAGTGAGGCTGACGACCCACTCCGGCGCAATGAGTACGGATCCGAAGCAGTGGGAGTGCCGGCCCTTTTTGAGCCGTAAGCGCTAGAGGGCTTGAGGAACTCCTCACTCTCTTCGTCGTCCTCTTCCAGCAGGAAATTTCGTGATGGATTGGACGGCTTCAGGGTCTCGGAGGACGGCGACGGAGAGAGTCCGCTGCGCGACTTCCACATGGCGAGGGAGTGATGTTGCTGCGTCTCGGGGACGTCGGGAGAGTCTGTCCGGTACTTGAGCGTCGTCGATGGAAGCTTAGCAATGGTCTTGTTGTCCGTGCTGATGCTGACGGACGAGGCAGTCCGTGAAAGAGGCTTCTTCCGGCGCGACCGCTTCATCATGACGACGCCCTCGTCCGACGAAGAATCCGCTTCCTGGTACTTGGCCCAGGGGTTGTGGTTGCAGTCATCCTCCTCATCGTCGGCGTCTTTGCACTCGACGGCGATACATTGCTCGACCTTGTCGTCGAAGCGGATGTGCCGCTTCTCCCCGTGATCGGGAGTGTGCAGTCCGGAGGTGGACTTTGAGGAGAAGTAGTCCGTGCCTTCCCAAAGCAGGCCTCGGGACAATGTGGAAGATGTGGGGAAGTCGGGGGTTACACGGCCGATGATTGGTCGGGGCCGTCGCAACTCCAGCGTCACACCGGTTGTTTGCTGGGCCTGCACCGACTCGGCCGCTTGTTGCAGCAGTGACGACGACGACAGCGACTTTTGCAGCATGGCCTCGGACATGCTGCGCTTCTTGAGGATTGGCTTCTTGACGCCATTGACGAAGGAGTTCGTCTTGGACAGGCGGCTGGCTGGCTCCGAATTCTGCTGCGAGCAGAAGCGATTTGAGGCAGGCTGCATGGGCCCGTACAGCCAGGTCACGTCAACGTCTTTGAGCCTGGTGATTCGTTAGCAGTGCCCAAGAGTTAAAAATCTGCAAGATGGTGCACGGATGGGGGTGATCGACACCCCTGCCGTGGCTGCAGATCGAAATATTCGGGACTCACCAATTCAATGTCTCGGGCGAGATGGTCTTGAGCTTAAACTGGGCCTTGGCCCACGTTCGCCACGAGGCATTTTCGAGCCTGGAGCGCTCACCGTAGACGCTGCGGTGCTCGACGATGTGCCGCCACGACGACCAGATGTCCTCCTCGCGCCACTCGTACGAGAGGTAGTCGACGTGGTGTGAGGGCTCCTTGCGCACGGCCGTGTCGTCTTCGGACATGGGCATGGGGTCTGGCGTGGTCATGGGAGTATCGGAGGAGAAGCCTTCGGTCGGCGACGGTGAAGGCAGCGAGCCCGGGCGCATGGCTGAGGTTGCGGGCTTCAACGAGGCCATGTCGATGGGCGTGACGCCGTAACTGATGCCCTTTGCAACACCCTTTCCCTTTCTGTACTGCCGCGCCGAGCTGTAATTGGGAAATGCCAGGCCATCGTCTTCGCTGCTCGACTCGTCTGACTTGGGATCGAGCGAGACACTGCTGGAGGGCGTCGAGTGCATGGACGATGTGCGCGAGGAGCCGCTCAGCGACGGCGAGCGCAGGTCGGGCAGCGAGTACTGGTTCTTGCGGATGGGCGTGTAGGTGTCGTAGGCGAGGGACGCGGACGAGGGCGAGCGCTGGAAGGGCGGGTTGTCTCGCGGGAGCGACAGCATGGCCGTCATACCGGGCGGGTGCGGGTCAATGCCTCAATATCTATCACAGCGTGGGCCCAGCGGCGGCGAGGAGAAATCTCAGATAATTCGGCGTAGACATGCGGTCGTGACTTGGTATGTATGGGCGTGCGGGGACAGAGGTGCAGTGGAGCGTGGCCAGGAATCGGGCTGACGACGCAACGGCGGACGTGAAGGCAGCTGTTGAGCAGTGGGAGGTGCGGAGATTGTCGAGACAGAACCACGAAGCGGAGTAGCGGCACTGGCCTAGCCACGAACTCTGGAAACCTGAAGAGGCGCCCCTGCACCCTCACACCAGGGCTACTCTGGGGTCCCGTCCAGCCTTTCACGTCACCCCTCGCCTTCAAGCCACAAAGGACCGACCGCTCTGCCGCTGCGCATCCGTTTGCCCTCCAAGCACGCTTCGCTGCACCTACGGGGTAGCTGCAGAAGGCCTTTCGGTGATCAGCCTGCAGATGCCCAACAGAAGCATGTGTAGTCTAGACCGTCGCTAGCACCCTCGCGTGGAGGCGCCTTTCACATCCTGTCGCGACACCGTGCCGGGGGCTGCCTCATTTCCGAGATGCGCCGGCCGTTGCTGCACCTCAGCAGCGCCGAAAGTGAACTGCGGAGAACCTTGAGAACCTTAAGAGCCAGCTGCGCATGTGTGCTCACGCTCGTTTCCCCCGGCTCGAACGACGTTGACGGCGAACGCCAAAGCCATGCACTGCGATGCACCCCCCACTCAGATGCAGGTTAACTTAGCCTTCACTTAGCCTCTCAACACGATGCCTCTGCTCCATCACTTCACCGATGCTCAGCATACAGCAGTATGACGAAAACCATCCATGCTTCTCGTCCAAACACCTGCTCCTCCACATGCGCTTCCTCTCTCGGCGCCTGGGGATTTTGTGGAGAATGACGCGCTGCTCATCGATCGAACTTCAACATTTCAATCTTGCCTGGATCTCTTCTTGGTGTACCTCCAGACCGCTCAGAAAGCACGACGAGCCAAAAGCACTTAAATCTTGGTCAAGACACACATCTCGCGTGGATCAAGGGTTTTCGCCCATACTAAAGCGCGATTTAAACTGCTCGCCTTGCCAGATGCCATAGTTCTAACAAAATAAAGGGCTGCAGACGACTTTAGTACGTTTCGTATCAGGACCAAACTCCTTCGCAAGCTCCGTGCTGCGTGCAACCATGAAATGGTCCTCTGCTAGCCCTCGCCTTGCTAATCATAGCTCACCCTAGAGCGCGCGAAGAAGCGAAGAACAAACTACCCACACGGGTATTACAGTGGGGATGAGTCGGGGTTCAAAAGGAATCATCTCGTTAGGGCCTTGGTGTGAACATCAGCAACACAACATGTTAAAGTACAGTCGTACTCCTGTCGTCCTTTCTCTCCGCGGCGTTTGCAATCATGTCTTTGCCCCCGGCTGTTCAGTGACACTGCGTCAAAGCCGCTGCTCCAGCCGCATGGCACTCCACCACACATCGATAATGGAAATACCATTTGTAGCAACCCGAAGATAAGCCATGCGTTCCCCAACGGCGTGGCAGACTTGGTCAGTCTGTGTAACGTCGCACAACAGTAGCCTCGCCATGGACGGTTCATCAGTTTGCAGGGCCAAGCAGCGCCTCTCCGACGACCACGAACGTCAAAGGGGCTTTATCAGTCGCACATCGTCTCGCACAGCAATCTCGCGAGCATTTATGCTATCTGCGAACTGCAGCAGCCCCTGGGATTTATTTCCGGTAAAATGCAGAGCGGGAATGATCCAGCTCGTGCGATCGATCTCAGCGCCGTATGTAGCGCCATGACGCATGTCGCGTCGGTGTTCGAGAGCCCCGAGAGGCGCGAAAGCGACCCAGTCTGTGTCATCGCCTGTCGCAAACGTTTTGCACTCAGTTTTGCACTCAGCTTTGTGTGCGCCTTTATAACATGTCACCGCCGCGTCACACGTAAACTTTATAATAGTCATTCCTTAGCATTTGTAATATGAGCGCAACCCACGATGCGCCAGCCCCAGCTGGGGACTCACACCTCGACTCGAACGCGCCGAACGGACGTCACGATATTACGACTTCTTCTTCGACCGATGTCAGTCTCACCGAGAGAGACGGAACAACACAAAATGGGGAGAAGGCTGTAGAAGAGGGCGCTACTGGAGCGAATGGCGCCGCTGTTGCACCGGGCGCACCTGGTGCGCAAGATGAATTCCCTCAGAGAACGAAGCTACAGATCTTCTTGATCATGCTCTCTCTGGCTGTGGCGGTTCTACTCGTTGCTCTGGATATTACCATCGTCACAACCGCCCTACCCACGATTTCGGCAGAGTTCAACAGCGCTTCGGGATATACATGGATAGGCTCGGCGTACCTCATCGCACAGTCAGCAGCCACGCCAATCTGGGGCAAGATCTCTGATATCTTCGGACGAAAACCCATCCTGTTGCTCACAAACGCCATCTTCTTTGTCGGCTCCCTCCTTGCAGGTGTGGCTGTCAACATGGATATGTTAATCGCTGCAAGGGTGATACAGGGTATTGGTGGTGGAGGTCTCATCACACTGGTCAACATTACCATATCCGACCTCTTCTCTGTGCGGGACCGAGGTGCATACTTTGGAATCATCGGTGGCGTATGGGCCTTGGCGAGTTCCCTAGGACCTGTTGTTGGAGGGCTCTTCACGCAAAAGGTCTCGTGGAGATGGTGCTTCTACATCAATCTACCTTTCGACGGTGTTGCGTTCCTCATCCTCCTGTTCTTCCTCGATGTCAAGACACCAAAGACTCCGCTCCGTGAAGGCCTCAAAGCTGTTGATTGGCTGGGTTCGCTCGCCATGGTCGGTGGAGTCATTATGCTGCTTCTCGGCCTGGAATTCGGAGGCATCTCACATCCTTGGGATTCTGCCACAGTGCTTTGTCTTATCATCTTCGGAGCCGTAGTCATTGGCATCTTCTTCGCCATTGAGTGGCGGGTAGCACCGTATCCTCTCATGCCCCTCGATCTCTTCTCGAAGCGATCGAACTTGGCTGCATTGGCTACCTGCTTCTTCCACTCCTTCGTCTTCATCAGCGGCAACTACTTCCTCCCACTTTACTTCCAGGCTGTGCTTGGCGCGACACCTATTCTTTCGGGAGTGTATCTACTGCCTACTGCAGTCTCACTCTCATTCCTCTCTGCTTTCACTGGCATCTTCATCAAGAAAACCGGGCAGTATCTACCTATGATCTGGTTTGGCATGATTATGATGACACTGGGCTTTGGACTTTTCATCGACTTTGACGTCAACAGTTCTTGGGCCAAGATCATCGTCTATCAGATCATTGCTGGAATTGGTGTCGGTCCAAACTTTCAATCACCGCTCATTGCACTCCAGAGTCTCGTACCGGTAAGTTCCATCAAAAGTTTCTTTTTCTGCGCCTGCACATGTGATCATTACACGTGACACTAGAGGCGGGGTTGCGGTAGAGCAACCATAGTTGCCATTCGTTAGCTTACCGATGCTGACATGCTCCCAGAAACGCGACATCGCTACTGCGACTGCAACATTCGGCTTTACTCGGAACCTTGGTAGCGCCATCTCGGTCGTTGTAGGTGGGGTCATCTTCAACAACGAGATGAAGTCGAAGCAGTCTCAACTGGCCGCTTCGCTCGGTCCCGAAACTGCGTCGAGGTTCGGTGGAGGTTCCGCCGGCGCCAACGTCGGGCTTATTCAGTCCCTCCCCGATGAGCAAAAGTCTGTTGCGCGAACGGCATTCGCAGACTCGCTGAGCACCATGTGGATACTCTACGTCGCATTTGCTGTCGTGGGTCTCGTAGTCAGCCTCTTAATCACGCGTAACAAGCTCGACAAACAGCACGAGGAGACCAAGACTGGAATCGAGGTAGAAAAGGCAAAGAGGCTCGAGAGGGAAGCAGAGCGCGCAGAGAGGCGGAGGAAGAGGGCCAGCAAAGGGTCATTACCGCTCGACCCTGAGGCGCAGACAAGTAATCCTGATGTTTCAAAAGAGAAGGAGACGGCGGTATGATGAATTTTCGGCGATTCCATGTAGCATCAAGCATAGCGTAGGTGTTCGTATCCAGATTCCTCACTGTAGTTTGCCCAAGATACCACTGTATGTAAAATTGTAATATAACAGCCGTGTAGGCCCACAGAAGTGTCAATGCGTTCCAGTCATAATGTGCTCTTACTCACTCCCGTTTGCTCACAGGGTCTGACCCTCCATTGAGTCTTTGTCAATACGAAATTAGACTTGTCCGCGGTGAAGTAGACAAAGCACTACTGGTACACGTTTCATAACAGCGTGTTCAGCGAGCAATCACCAGTCACTACACCAACATCTTAAACAAAGCCCCATGTTCCCAGACAGAGTCTGTTGTCAACGTCAACGCAATGTGCTACTATCGACTTTACATCTTTGTTGGCTGCAGCCACTCAACTTTTTCAGAGACGCCGGTTAGGCACTGTAAGGATACGCAGACGAAGAGCGTAAAAAAGTCGAAATCGCCATCAACACAGCATGAGGATCTAGCTACCGGAGGCGAGAGTTCTTCGGGAAGCAGTCGCAAGGGCAGAGACTCACAAATGACGCTGGTGCCAGACGATGACTCCAACGAAAGAACAGACAAAACAACCAGGTGCGGAGATAATTCGCAGACTTTACACTCTGCTGTACAAACAGACCATAACAAGACATATCACACAGATCTTCTGTCAACTACCGACGTTCTCCTGACTCCAAACGCAGATGGTAGAACTGCCTTGTCGCACACGACCTCACCTACCATCATTTCAAGAGCCAGAACTTCGCCGCCGAATCCTCCAGCTCTAGAGGACAACGATACCCAGCCGACTTGCGAAGAAGGTCGTGTACATCCCCTGCACACTGTCCGGCTCGAGCGCATGTGCCCACTTTGTGAACAAGAGAGAGAAGAAAGACTACGGCTGTTGTACTCTTCCATGAGGGAGATCAGATTTGATCCTGCGAGATGGCATGTGAAGTATCAAGGAGATGTGAAGTTGCAAAGTGATGGAAATCAGCAGACGGGTGCGGGTTGGGGTGTTGCGATGGGTGGATGGTGGGATCGGGGTAAGAAGGAGGATAAGGATGGTGTGACATGAACATGAGTTGAGTGTACCTAAAAGAGGGAAGAAACAATACCATAGCGAAAAATGAGAGTGGTCCTGCGCGATCTTGGAAGGCGCTGCCCAGGTGGTGGTGATGCAGCATCACGTGCACTGCCGCCAATCGCAGCTCGGCCCTTTCAAAGCTCACCAACGATCACGACCACGACACCTCGCAACACCGCCAATTGCCCCGTCGCACGTCTCTAAACCTCTCGACGGAGTCCTCGGAAACCATATACACGTCCGCCACCCCCGAACGCACTCCCCGCCGCCGCAATGCCGACCCCAGAGTCCGAACTCTTCCTTGCCAAAAAGCCCAAGGTTGCGCCAACCTTTGACGGTGTCGACTACGAGGACAACACTGCGCTCAAGGGCGCGCAAGATGCTATCATCAGGGAGCAGTGGGTGAGGAGCATGATGGCGAGGTTGGTGAGGGACGAGATGGGCAAGTGCTACCGGAGGGAGGGGGTCAACCACTTGGAGAAGTGTGGACATTTGCGAGGTAGGTCTTTCTCTATTCCGCAGGCTAGAAGGATACGCGCAGAAGGACAAGAGATCGAATTTTGGGCTGGTTGCAGCGGTGCAAGGCCGTCTGAGGATGTACGCCATGACAAAACGAAGGCTAACACAGGCTGAACAGAGCGTTACTTCGAGCTCCTCAAGGACGCAAAGGTCAAGGGATACCTCTTTGCCCAACAAAACTACGTCGACGATGCGTTGAAGCGATAAGCGGCCCGCCAACAGCGGTGATCGCTTGCATGAAGGACGGACAACAGGCAGACCATACACGACACGCAGCGGGAGACACCACCAGACGAAGACAAGGGTTTATGGCGTTCGGCAAGCGTATGCTGAAGAAACGCACCAATTCTCTCGTACTGGCGAAACTGTACATATACATGCCCGAGGAGAGACCGATGTAGCACGAATTATTGGAACAAGTGTACAATTGCAGTGGTACAGTTCGCATGTTTTCTTTTCCCACTGACGTGAAACCTCAAATTTCTAGGTCTTCTGTTCCAGGCGCGTGTTCCGGACGCTTTGTGGCTCCCCAGGCTGCTGATATGATGAGGCCAAGGCTAGCTCCCAACCCCGCTACCACCGCGTACCTGCGTCAACAGCCGTCCCGACCAGCAACAGTCAACAGTCAACACGATGCCCTTCCCCTTCGTCCTCCCGACTACTTCCAGCATATCCTTCACAGAATACTTCAACAGCAGCACTCATCCGTCCCTACCCAACTGCGCGACCACTGCGCGAGGCGTCCTTCGAGACGTACTCAAGCGACACAAGCGCATACCGCCTGCCTCACAGGCCTCGAACCTCTCCACCGTAACATCCGCCCTCAACGACTACATACCATACCTGTTCGCTCTCGATGCAGGACTGAGTGGTGCAAGCTGCGCCGGCGAAGAGATCGACCTGGTCTTGGTTAAGGAGCTGGAAGTAGAATGGCGCTCGACGCTGGGGTCTTCGATACCGGGTCGCGAGCCAGCAAGAGTGAAGCTCAAGAGCCTTGAGAGCGAGCTCTGCTATACTCTCTCGACACTGGCATACGTATACAGCCTCCAGGCTCGAGCACAGCTACACACCCTCTACAATGCGACCGTACCCACGCCCGAACAACGCGCAACCGCAATCGGCGCTGCTATGAAGCACTTTCTCGAAGCAAACTCCATACATACATACTTGGTGAACCGCGCAGGGCAGTACAACTCACAACCCGCGGCTATAGACATATCCGCGGCTGTGCTGGGAGCGTTAGCGGAGCTCACTATGGCTGAAGCTACACTCATCACCGTACTGAAAGACGATCCATACCCAGCGGTCGTGATAGAAGACCGGAACAAACAGAACAAAGACTGGATGTTCCGGGGCGTCGATATACCCAAGGTCCGCGCGCACCTCTTCGCTCGACTGTGCCTTGCTTCTTCAGAACACGCTGCGAAAGCCCAAGCTATGTTTGGGCGGTCTTCCAAGATCAACGACGATCTGCTGAAATACGTGGATGATCTGAGGCGGACCGCCAAAGGCAAGGCGTGTCGGTTCCTTGCCTGTGATGCTGAAGGAGGTGGTAAGACAGGCGACGGCATTGCATGGCTACGAGGCGCAAAGAAGGAGCTGGGTTTTGCATCGCTGGGTGCGGAAGAAGAGAAGAAGTCATCTGGTTTCTCCAAACTGAAGAAAGAATGGCAGGAGAAGAGGGAAGATCGCAAGATCGAAAAAGGCGTGGACTGGGGCACTGATGCAGGCAAGTTCGAAGAAGGACGAATTGTCGATATGTTGTTGAAGAAGTGGGAGAAACAGAACGACACCGTATGTACACCCGCCTTCACTGGTTCATTGTGCATGATTAACTGACTATATCAGGTTGGCATTCAAATAGTACCTCCCTCAGAACCATTGCTAGCAAGCATGCCCTCTGGACGCGAGTATCACACCACCAAGATGTTCATCGTCCCTGCGCTCGACGAAGACGCTTTGATCCGCATGCGGGCGCCACCAGATCCAAGCGAGGCTTTCGAAGGAAACGAAGACGACAGCGCGGACGAGGACGACCGCAACCCTCCTGCCGGTGCATTCCCAGGCACAAAGGCGGACTATGCACCAAGCTCAAGCTACTATTGAATTGCAAGGGTATATAATACAATTGGAATGAGACGAGCTTTGAACAAATAAAAGAGCTACCAAACACGCCATCATACCCCATACCCAAGATCCCTCCAAAACTCCGCGACCTCACCCGAAACATCTCTTTGCACCCTACCCTCTTCCCAGACATCCCCCGCCCCCTCCAACATGTCACTCCACGCCATCAACAAAGTGCCCCTGTTCCCCCTCCCCGCAAAATGAACAAGGTAATCCCCCCTCCTAACATCCCGTTCCTTCAACCCCTCCACGTCCTCCCTCTCCAGAAACTTCTGCGTGCCCTCCTCTTCATACCCGTTGAACCAGTGCTGCGGCACATATCTCGCTTGGTCTCGGAACTGATCTGTTTTGAGCACTTCTTCCATAGCAGATTGCTCTGTGAAGGGGAGGTCGATCTCCGGCTTGTAGTGGCGGAATGCGAGGATGGCGGTGAAGAGTTCGATGGCCCAGGCGTTGACGCGGAGGAGGAAAATGCCGTTGTTGAGACCGTTCCAGTCGCGCGTTACGAGGAGGTTTGTTGTATTTGCTGGTGCTGACGTTGTTTTGTTGTCGTCGCGGCGCCACCAGGACCCGAAGCGCGCTTTCTCTGGTGGGAGAAAACTGGATATCGGACGGCATTGATCGAGGATGATGGTGTCTCGATCAACCCATTGTATCCATTCTAACCGCTCCTTCTCTGGCTTCAACATCTCCCGCATGAGTAGGTTGAGGATGAAAGCGGGTTTGTTCCACAGATCATCTACAATCGGATCGCACATCACCCTAACCTCCGTACCATGCACCAAGGCATGTTGGAGATGCGTCTTGAGCGCTTTCTGATAGTGTTCCTGGGGCTTGCCAAAATGCGCCGTGACAGTCGCAATGCGCGCCCGCCCCGTTGCAAAAGGTGAGTACTTCCGACAAGTAGCGCGTTTCGCAGTCGCTGCTTCGATGAGTTCAGCCGAGACTTCTGGTAGGCATTTCGAGTCGCCGTGGGCGATGAATTGGGCGTTGGGTCGCGGTTGGGGTCGGGCATACGGAACGGAGAGGTTCTCCAAGTTGGGGTGGTTCCAGAGGAGGATGGGGAAGCCGATGAGGAAAAGACAGAGCCAGATGATGAACTTGCCGGTGAGGAAGCGCGGAGGTGCGTACATGGCTTTGGAACGGGTGGAAGGGGATGGCGAAGGGATGGAGATGGGCGCGTAGCTTGGATGTACGAACATTTTATTGCTACTGGGTGTGAGCTATGTATGCGTGAGTAAGAAGGGGTAGAAAAGGGACTTGAAGAGGTCCTTCCAAGACACGGTCGAGATGACAAGCTACACGAGGTGACGAATGCTACGGCGGTATTCGCTTGGGATGCCAACGTCGCCGGATTATGCGGCTGTGTATTCGTGGTAAATGGGCGTCAGGTTGACAGCCAGCCTGGCATGGCGGCGTTGGCATGTCCGGTCCCAAGAGCTTCGCTGTGCTTGTCTTGAGCACAGAGGTTCTGGCATTGATCTTGCTAGCTAAATTATACTACTAGCGGATTCTGGCTCCAAGCTGGTGCATGACAGAGGCTTACACAGCGAACGCGCTGTGGTCGGACTTTGTGGTCAGATGTGGTATTTGCGGAGTTTGGTTACACATCCTGCTCACGGACTTGCTGGGACTTCTCCTATACGCGAATTCTGAACGGGGATCGTCGAACGGATGGTGTAAATGGAGACATATATTTTGGTCCAATTCCACAGTACGGTTTGGAGCTGACGAGTTCATCGCGTTAGATGTTTCTGCTGCTCGGGGAGATACCTTGGCCTCTCGTCAGTCTTGGCTTGGTTGGCGTCAGCGTCACTACGATGAAGCATAATGTAGATCTGAAACAGATTGAGGCTTCCAAAAGAGCCTCATCAGTATTTGGAGGCTGATGGAATTCCGACGGAGCGGTGCGCCCTGGTGGTCTTGGTCAACGTACCGCCGACGCGCATGCTATCCGTGTTACAACACAGCGTCGCGATACGCGTCGCATCTGCGCATTAGAGTATAATAGTGAGGAGAAGTCTAGGCTGGTAGCTCTGGGAGACGTTCTGAATATCGTGATGTCTTGGTATATTCCGGACGGTCCGGGGAGCATGTTGAGGGTGGAGGTAGCTGCGAGGCTCGCATCGGCAGCGGCACCGCAGGCGCGAGCCGCGCCCCCGGCAAGGACGTGAACGGAGTACATAACACACATAAAGATCAACATTAGTGTTGACTTCGTGATGTGACTTGCTTCGGGAAGAAAAAAAAGTACAGATTCTGCAAAAGACGCATGCATGTGGTTACCGACCTCGAACTAATGGACATCCAGCCGGTGGCATCACATAGCTAGGGTCTTGACGAACACGCAAAAACAAAAAATGAGAGCTCTCCAGCGGGGAATTGAACCCCGGTCTCCCGCGCGTTGCCTGTAAAGGTGACAAGCGGAAATACTGACCACTATACTACTGAAGATTGGTCAACCTGATGGTTGAGTAGTTGATTGATGACAAGATGCGACGACATGTAATAAATAACCTCGTAAGATGTTGCGAGCGCAGCAGATTGGGTGTAATCATGCCATCAAATCGCTTCAATCAAGTCTCCAGTTTGCCGATCAAAGGTGACGTATGTTCACTCATGTGCCCCGCGACACGCCGTCTTGCAGCCGAAGCGCGGGGCCATTGACCAGCACCTGACCCACCCAGAATTCGCGACAACATGCTCATACCAATACGCGATCCCGCAAAGCTCATTATGTGACACGAACGAACCAAGGTGTAGCCCCGGCAGATCCGCTGGGTGAATCAGGCTCATTTGTGTGACGAGGTGTATCTGTGAGGACTGCATCCTAGCCGGTGCATCACTGTCCATGAACACATTCGGACTAATTGGTATATTTTCCTGTTCGAACAGTAGGTCCGAGAGAACTCAGTAATCCTGCTACACTGCTTATGCGAGTTTCCGCACACCAAGGTCAACCTTGATCTACGACTTTGTGATCTCTTCCGGACCTTTCATATCACCCAACGAGTTGTCACCATCTTTTCCATCGCCCACTGACCCCTGTCCAATCAGAACGGCTTCTTCCCGTCCAAGCATCATATGCTCGATGTTGACCTTGGGGCCCTTGAACCACTTGTGTGCGGAAACGAACCACCATATCGTTACCAAGAACATCGGACCACCGTAAACGACGCATGTCCAGTTCATGTCTGCCACGCTATTGGTACGTTAGTCTTGTCAAAGCAGCGTGAAAGTGTTGGTGAGACTTACGTCAAGTCCGGTCCGGTTACGCTAGGGAAGCATAAGATAGGTATCATGAGCAAGACAAAGACACATGCAACGCTACCAATAGCGCTGGAGTACTTCCCCAAGTTCCATGGACCTGGTCTAAAGCGATTGCCTACGAAGAAGACACGGATGGCAATGGGTATGGTAAAGGCGCTATCAGATGTCAGTAGAGCACGCACACCATGCTCGTCAGCACTTACACAAAAGCTGCGATGGCACCAATGGAGAACAGCGCTCCAACGGCCAGCTCTCCGCCGAATATGAGCAACAGGCACAATATGCCGATCGCGCAATTGAACCACACGGCATTCGCAGGTGTCTGTGTGTGTTTGTTGACCCTCTTCCAGTACTTGGACAACGGGAAGCAGTCATCACGCGCGTACGCGAATGTCACTCTGCTTGCCGCAATCATACATCCTTGACCCATGCTGAACCCGGCTATAATGGTGAGTGCAAGGATCGCCAGCGCCATCTTCTGCGACATGCATTGCATCAGGTAGGCAGCGAAAGGCTGCCCGAGCTCAGACTCGAGGACTAGGTCGATGTCAACGACAGTGTATGCCACGACAAGCTGAAGGAACCAGCCAAAGAAACCTCCAGTAGCGGATGTCAGAACAATAGCGCGCGGAGAAGCCAAGTTCGCATTCGAGCATTCTTCCGCAAGATGAAATGGCGAATCGTAGCCTGACATAGTCCAGATGACGCCGATAAAGGACATCAGGACTGATATACCAGCTGGGAAGGATGTGCCTTCGTATATTGTGCCCCAGACCTCGCTCGAAGGGGCAAAACGGGGTAGACCGCGCTCTGTACGGTCTGTGCCCGCTGGGATCATTATGATGACCACAATCAGCGCGATGAAGTTGAACGTGGAACCGGCGGAGTTGAACTGTGCAAGCCAACGTGTCGGCATAGAGGAAAGGATCGCATGAAGAATCATGATGAAGACCGTCAACAGGAAAGTCTGATAATCCGTGGGGACGTAAGACGGGTCATTGATACTAGCCGCCGCCAGTATCATGGCCGCAATTCCATAATTGACTACTCAAACAGTCAACTCTATGTCCATACCCGTCGCGAACGAGATAGCGGTTTGTACTTGCCGGACGGTGCCGCCGTGATCTGAGCCAGCCAATTACTCCAGCCAGTAAGCCAAGCAGCAAAAGGTCCCCAACCAGGTGGTGCCAGGACAGCAGAAGCGTAGTATAAACCTCCGCTCGTGGGCATGCTACTACACAGCTCTGCCATGCTCATAGCCACACATTGGATTCCGACCATGGCGACAATCCAGCCCCAAGTCATTCCAGCGGTTCCCGCATAGCCCATGCCATAATAGAGCGTAGACGCGAAACTAGGCAGTAGACCCAGAACCGCAAAACTGACACAGAAGGTGGTAAACAGCGAAAACTCTCTCTTAAACTCCGATTTGTATCCAAGAGCCGCTAGAACTTCTTCATCTGGATTGAGAGAATGCGTGGGATCGTAAGGTATGTCGCCATCTGGAAGAACAGATGTCACCGGTTCTTCCGCGACGGAGTGGTTCCGATGCTGGGAAGTCGTCATCGTCGCAACGCGAAATGCATGCGCGCGCCGTCGCAGGCGCCGTCGAAAAATAAGAAGAAGTCGCGACACGCGTTCTTACTCCAAGAATATAGCAACGCATGGAAGCGCAACAACTCGTCTATATACACCCACACCCCAGTCTG